AAAAAAGCTTACTATGAGCAGGCACTGTGCAAAAGCACTTGGTATACACAATTTCATTTATTCTTCAAATTACCATGATGATAATCATTATGCTATTGTTTCCCCTGTGCTCTGATAAGAAAACTATTGCTGGAGTGGATAAGTAACATTCCCAAGGTACATAAGACAGTCATGGAGCTGGGAGCTGAATCTAGGCTAACTTCAGAACATCCATGCCAAGCCACATTGTAGTCTCCCAAAATAAAATAATAATTAAGAATTTACTTTAAAAAACATGAAACTATCTAATTTTAAAATATAATTCCTTTCTTCTACTTCCAACTACTTAAACTTCTAAGATGTGACTAGGTCTACTTTTTTGCTTGCTTCTTATTATTATCCAATAATCACCTTAAATGTCCAAGAAGAACCTGGAAAACCCATGCCTTTCTGGCCGGCTTTCACAACAGAGACAGAGAGGTCTGGTGGCCTCTGAAGATGGTACTTCACATATCTCAAGCTTTCTAAGTATCTTCTTCCTTCTCTTCAATCTTTTCATGGCCTTCCTTTCCTGAGAAGTCCAGAGGCCCACTTTAAGCCAAATACGAATGTTAGAAACTTTTTTCTCTTAAGGAAAAAAAAAAGGAATGAGAACCAGGTCCCTTGAAGATCCAATCAACTCACCTTATAAAGCAGGGATAGACTCCATGAAATAGATATGTGAACAATTTCTCTCTAAGTCTTTGCCAGACTTGGCACAGGCTGGCCCATTAGAAATACATAATAGAATATTTTTAATAATTCAATTTTCAACCTCACTTTGATCAATAGTTCATTACCTAAGTTAGATCTGCCAAATGGGATGAACTCTTCAGCCCATTTGTCCCATATTTGCATGAATATTATGCTGTGAATGTTACGCTCCTTTGAACTTCAAAAGAACTTCCTGGCCTCATTGACTACAACTTTAACAACAGAACATAATGGAGTTACAGAAAGATCTTTCCCTGGCTAAAGACCTCAAACCTTGCTGGGGGGTGGACAGTAACAAACTTTTACATAAGCAACAAATGGCTCATTCATCCATTGAAGTGCATTATCAGTATTTCCTGGTCTGGGAAGCCTGTCTTCTCTCTTATGAAAACAACTGTAACTGTGGCTAATTAGCTAACAGCAAGTGGCAGCACAAACCTTCACCATTTCTTGTCAAAGACCTTTCCTCAAATAAAGCATTTTTTTCCAGCCCTTGTCATATTTCTCACTTCAATTGAGAGAGCATCTTTCACCATAAGAGTATTCCACCTACATTCCACCATGATGCCCCAAATAGGAGAGCAAACAGATGACAGAATACTTTCCTTGACTTACAAGCTTATATTCAAACCAGCTCCAGAAAATATTTTGGGTTCCTTGGGTAAAATGGAATGAGACCACAAAGAGAGATATGAAGGTTTATTTCTCGTTTTCCCAGTTACTTTTTAAATTTAAAAAATAAACCTGCTTGACCTTCATCAACTCCCATACCAAGTACCCTTCTCCAGAACTGGACAGTAAAAACATGAGAAATGTGATATTCTTTTACTTTAAAAGACTTTTCCCTGATGAAAAAGCCATACTTGCCAACTGTGGAAACTTTGGAATAGATAGAAGCAGCACAAAGAAGAACAAAAATAACATTCATAATCTTAACATTCCGAGATTAAAAAAAATAGTTCCCTATTGCATACCATGCATGAATATAAATTTCAAATGGAATAGAAAAATATGGATAAACCTCTAAATTTTGGCAGCAGCAGAAGAAAATATAAGACTATAAGTGGGAAAAACCTTAGGAATAAGAAATCCAGCAGCCATACAGGAAATGAATGATATATCTGAATACATAAAATTTTAAAACTTCAATATGAAAAATACAACTTATACAAAGTTTAAAGCAAATGACAGAATGAGAAAAATAATATATGTTATATAAAAGGCTAGTGACAAAATTTGAAATAACAAAAGGTTAATAAATAAGCTTTTATACATAAATAAGATATACAGCCCAAATGAAAAAAAACAGGTAATTCACTGAAGAAATTTAATTGAACTAAAATATTGTTGAAAAGATGCTACAGTAATAGAAAAATCAAGGCAAAACTAAAATATGATTTCTCATATTAAACAGTCCTCTAAGTACAAAGATTAATACTCTCCAAAGTTATTATAAATGGACTCCCATAGACAGATGGTGAGATTGTAAATTAATACAACTTATTTGAGGAGAAGTTTGGCAGTATTTACCAAGATTAAAACTGAACATTTTGAGGTTGGGGCTGTAGTTCAGTGGTAAAGTGCTTGCCTCACATTTGTGAGGCACTGGGTTCAATCCTCAGTACCACATAAAAATAAATAAAGATACTGTGTGTTCATCTACAAATAAATATTTTTTAAAAACTGAGCATGCACTTTGTCTACAAATTTCTCACAAATACTTTCATTAGTGTCTAAGATGTTCACTAATGCCTTGCTTATAATGGGAAAAATGGAATCAACCTTAATATCTACAAATAGAGACTGGCTAAAAAAATCATTGTACACATACACAATTGGAAGCTATAAAAACATTAGAAAGGATATGGCACTGTTATATTGCAATGTTATGATATCAAAGGATATCCTACTCATATTGTTCAGTAAAAGCATGTTACAGGAAAATGTGTATAAGCTCCAATTTCTGTGAAAGAAAAAACCATATAGACATGTGTGTATGGTTTCTGAACACAAAGAAAAGTTTTGAAGTGCATATAGCAAATCACTAGTTATGTTTACTTTTGGAGAATGAAATGGGAGTTAAGGGGTACATGTTCTTTATGCAGTTAGATATTTTCATTTTGTTTTGAATAATAAGCATATGTTAATTATAATTTAAGAAATCTAAAAATAAGTTAATATATACATTTTCTAGAACCACCAAATTTTCATTAAGCAGTCCTTTCAAATGGTAGTATGATATTATATTACTTTGATCATTTACGTAACCAATCCCCTATGGATTGACATTTCTGTTTCTAACTTCTCATCATTAGAAGTGCATTGTCTCTGCATACATATTGTGTGTGTGTGTGTGTGTGTGTCTGTGTGTGTGTGTGTGTGTTTTAAGTCAACTTAATGGAACACACACTTTGAGGTTTCCTCTTTAGTAGAGATAACTTTGTATATCTTTGAGATAGTCAGCTTAGGTGCAGCCACACAGAATGAGGCTCACTGAGGGAATGAACTTGGACTCATCTTATGACTATAATCCTGAAATATCAGACCAGAACTGGGTGCTTTAGGCCATATGTTACACAATTGCTTTTATGCCACCTGGATATTAAAATGGCTGGGGACAAATTCATAGGCACTATGAAACATTAGAAAATACTAATTTGGGTGCATAAGTATTTTTAAAATTACATCTCTCTTTGGTTTTTCAACAAAGCTTTAAGTTTCATGGACTATGTTCTTCAATACTTCTTAAATATCAAAGGCCTCACAGAAGAGATGGTCTAATTAGAGGTCCATGCTTTCTCCAGGAAGCCATCAGTAACAGGCCATAATGGAAGTTTCTTTCTAAGAGAGGAGGGATGTTTAATTCCTGATGATTATAAGTTGAGCTACGAATAAATCTACAATATTTCTATCACATCCACTTAAATCAAGAAGAACTTTTGGAAGAGGAAGGCTCTGAAGATGGACTATATTCAAGCAGAAGCCGGAGGAGGTAGTTTAAGGAATACAAGGAGAGAGGGGCATGGATCCAAGTTTCCTTACTGAGACCATGCCCTGATAAACTTCTTTTGGTGTCCCAAGCTTACTAGATAGCACTACAGAGCACTCATGCTTAAAAGCCTAACCAAAATCACTATTTCTCCTGGGAAGAAGATTAAGTTTACTATGAAAATCACAGTAGGACAGAAATGCATTTAACAATGGAATAAGCTTGGCACCATCCTCCCTGTCAGCAAGCCTTCTGCCTGATATATTTAACTTATGCTGATAAAGGAGATAAATGTTTAAATGATGGGCTTCAGATGCTGCTGTGCTGCAGCTCCTACCAAGAATATTTTCATAGCTTCTTCTCATGAATAAGTTCAGTGGAGCAGAGAATGCCCCTCTTGGACCAATTCCACTTTGTGCTTCTTTCTGATGCAGCCATAAAGGGGAACTAGAGCTATGGTTTTTCCTTCAAATATAGAGCAAGCAGCCACCTCAGAGGTTGCTGCACTTGGCCTGATGAAGGTAAAGCCCATACAAAGGCAGAACGAAGCACCTAACAAGAACAGAAATGTCAATGGTTCCTCATAAATCTCCCAAATGTGGTGGTAAGGAGGGTTAATTATCACCCTCTCCTGCCACTCTCTGCTTTCTCCAATGTGTTAGCCCATCACACGGATCGCTGACTTTCTAGAAATATTCCCTGGCTTTGTAGGGACGTTCCTTTCAATAAATGGCATCCAATTTACTAACGGTCCCTGGAATCTCAATTTCCTCAAAGGATTTTTCATCTGAATCCAGTTCATGTGAAGGTTTCTTCCTTCCCCGTTTTTCAGCACAAGGAAGCAGGGAGAGCCTGCTTTACTTTTTCTTTTCTTTCTTTTTTCTTTTCTGTGTTTTTCTTTTTCATAAACTGAAAACCTTTGCTTCAGTATCTAAAATTTGGGAAAAAATCCAGCTCATCTGTCAGATATTTCTAGAGTTACATAAAATGGAATGGGATTTGTACAGTTTAGAAAAGGAAAGGGGAAATAGGCAAATGTGTCATGTGTTCTATGAGATGAAAACTATATAATAATCAGAAAAACAGCACCAAACTTAGTTAGCCTTATTCAAAATCCTCATTATTTTATCAACTCATGAATAAACCAGTAACATTCACTTTATTCTTATGGAATAGCAGAATGGCCACATTTGGGTTAAATCACAGTCCCTACAGAATATAGCCACATTTGCAAAGAAATTATAGGAAAGTATATTATTTTTAAACTCAAGACACTTACGTTTTACTTGTTCTGCTTTGCTTCCTTCTAGGAAAAGAGAGAACAACAGGAAGGAAAAGATGTATTTCATGCCTCCCATTTTCCACTTTTTTCTCATTTGAGTCACTGCAAAATGTAACTCAGAATCTTCAAGGAGCAGTGTACTCAAGCTGTTGGAAAGAAGCAGAAAAAAAAAGACTTAAAACAGATCCCTTGTAACGGATAGGGATCACTGATGCTTAGGGGTCTAGCTTGCTAGAAAAGAAGTGCTGGAGAATTTACATGAGTGCAAGCATTGTTTGCCTGCATAAGAAAAAGGACTTCCTCTCTGGTCTTGCAAAGATGTAAGAGAAAATTCAAATGAATGAGCATGCATCACTATCCAACACTGAACCTAATTTTTTACAAGCAAGTCATAGGAAAATAAAAAATAAATTTTGAAATCCTTCTTTCCAAGGGAATTAAAGTTGATTTCTCAAGAGATTTTTTTTTTTTGAGAGAAAAAAGAAACTGGAGTTTGCAAAAGGGCTATTTTGGCAAGCAAGGTAAAAATAATAGGCATGAGATTCAGGCAATTTCTGAAATAGAAGTTAATTAATCTAAGCTTCAAGACTACTGTTATCATTAATACTTTAGGGATCAATTACAAATTGATCAATATTTCTCCAGTGTCCTCTATGAGATCCATAAGGATCTTCCGTTTGGCTACTTACATTGGAAGAGAGATGTAACAAGCAAATGGATGCAATTCAACACCTGAAAAGTTTTATTGCTTAGAATGGTTCAGACATATTCCTACCCATAAAGTCCACTGTAAAATGGAAATTTAAAATGGCCCATTTTAAGAGAAGTTAGGTCAACCTAAAACAGGTCATTTATTCACCTTGTACTACCATGCTAAAGACCATTAAAAGAACTGCAATTCTTTAAAATATGAGATTGGCATTTCCAGTCTAAGGGGTAGAAATCTTAAGCCTTTTGAGCCTTGGAGCACAGAAAGTTTGCTGTAGCTCATACTCAGTCACGAGTCATTTCCATGGACTTCAGAGTTTGCAAAATTCTTCCAATAGGAGATTGGAAAATATTTAAATAGTCAAGAAACACAACACTCAATCGGGGGTTAACCCTGACTAGGAACTAAACTCAATGATCTTTTCAGAAAGTCCAATTTAAATATCGGGCATGAAGAATTTGAAGGAATGCAAGATGCTCATTTTGGAGCACTGAATCTCTTTGGGTTCTGAAGTGGATGCCACAGCTCCAACTTTAAATGCTAGGAAGCTGCCAGCATCATTTAACATCCATTGTTTCAAATTATGCATATGTAACTGAAATAAACTGATCATAGAGAATAATTTATGCTATCGTGCAGGATTTGCAGTGGCCCATCTGCCTTCTTTCTCTACCTTTCCCCAGCTCCTTATAAAAGAATCAAATTCTCTTAAGACACTGTTCCTAGTTTCCAACACCCTGGATTCTGAAGTCTTAGTCCTCTCCGAGAGTTTATGGTCCAATTTCAATCCCTCAGAATATCTCTGTACCCTGAGAGCTACCAGGTTCCCCTGAAGCAAGACAATTGCATGAACAGTTAAATGCAGTTTCCCACCTTAGTGAGAGGTTCTTCCTGAGTCTACTTTTATAAGCTTATAACCCAGGTTTCCAAAAGAGAGAGCTTTTAAACGGCTGAAGTCCAATTTATCACAATCATATATAGATCTCAGGGGGTATTTTTAAAACCATGGCTTTTGGGTCTCCCCATGCAAGAACCAACAGGGTTGTTTTTCTTGTACAATGGTTGGGCGATTCGGTGAACAGTAGCATTGCTTCATAACTCAAGCTGGCAAGAAAACGGCCCTTAGAATTTTTTGCTTTTCTTGGGTCCCAGCTAATGTTATGAGCAAATAGAAAAGTTGGTGACTAGAGAGCAATTAATCTCTTTTGGCATTCCTGTCATCTGTGTGGCCTCCCAGGCGGTGATGGAGAACATCAGAAAATGAATCGCTTTATAAATATTCACTTTTGATTTACAAGATCCTGAAGTCCTGCCTTTGTATTCTGTGCAGAAATATGAACCGAGAAGAGTTCCCTTCCCAGGTCTCCCTACCATTCAATTTCTCTTTATCTTTTTAATTTTTTTTATTTTGGGGGAAAGGGTGGTTCAAGGCATTTGTTGGGACTGCAGGAGTAAACACAAGCAAGCAATGCTCAGCAAACATCCGACTCTTATTCTTGCAAAGAGCCAAACTGTCCTTAATTTTTCAAATTATACTTTGACCCAGTTAACTGGAGTTATTTCTGCATTAACTCTCTGTCGGCTTCACACAGGCTGTTGGGCCATCAAACTTGCACTGACTCTTTTACAGGTTACTTAGAAATGTAACCATTGACAAGTTTCAGGGGGATCCAGGACCCAACAAGAAAGCAACAAAGAAAACAAAATCCTACAATGAATATGGGGGTGAGGACTGGTCCGGGAGGGTTGTGGAATTTATAAGAGAACAGGAAAGTGCCTGATACTAAAGGAAAGGTATTGATTAAGGTGCCTGCCTGAAACAAGCATTCACATTGTTCCTTTACATCAAGTGAGGGGACCAATGCTCCTTGCCCAACTGTAACTGCAGAGTAATCTGGGCCATCAAGTGACAGGAGCCCACACTCAGAACAGGTCTCCCGGGTAGAACAGAACCAAAGAGACATTCCCAAAGGAAGGCTAAGGGATGAGCACATGTTAGTCAGTTCTTCATACCCCACAGTGTTTCTTTAATCCTCTGGAGAGGCTTGACTGACCTTGTAATCTCACATTCACTATCATCTGTGGGATAGCCCCTAGGGTAGCAATTTTCTTTCTGACAAACAATAAGAAAGACACTAGAGTCTCAGGCCCTTGTCCATCAGCTGAAATCCTCTCCTCACACTACCACCCAACAAGAAAAGCTCAGTTAACTCCTGGTGGTTTGCCACCAAAAAATGTCAGGGCTTAGCCCAGGATACCTCTTGTCAGAGGCAATACCTTCCTTGCTGCTTAGGAGTAGCAAAACAATGCCTTGTATTTGGCTTAAAAAACACCTTTCTATCTGTCATTTCACTTCATTCCACACAACGCCACCTTCAACATGGGCATGGAGAGGGCGACAGAGTGGGGACAGAGAATTCAAATAAATTGAGGTAGTGGCAGGGATGGGAGGGACTGGAAGGCAGGTTTTCTAGGCTTGTGTTCTAGCAATACCACTGTTTCCTGAGCCTAGAGTCTAAGTTCTGACCCCAGCGGCCTGGCCAGAAAATGAGGCAGATGTCCAGAGGAGAGGGAAGCCTCTTGCCCCTCCACCCAGTTTCATTAACTTTAACACGTATTAATCAGCCACCGGTCCAGGACACCAATCAATGAGAAAACAGGCTCTTGGACACATGCAGAATTATGGGGCCTGCAGAGTCCAGTTAGGCAGTTAGGCAGTTCCGCAGGGAGTACCCTAGTGGCCTCTGAAAGCACCAGAACACGTAGAAACGTAGGCCGAGTGAGGAGTGGCGAGTTGTGAGTTCAAATCCAGAGCCCCCAACCTGCCTGGGTCCAGTGCCTTGGGCCCCACCTCCATCTCAGCGGCTGGCAGCTGGATCATAGGACGACTAGGGATGGCAGGTCTCAAAGTTCAAGGCTCCCTGGGGGAACTACCAGGGATGCCTCCAGCCAGCAGAAGGCACCCCACCTGTGCAAAGGCTGGAAAGGGACGTGGGGGAAGCGGGCGCCGAGCATCGCTCACTGACCTGGGCACTGGCCTCCGTCTGCCACGCGTGCACGCGCTCTGAGCTCCCCGGGACGCTCCTCCGAGGTCTGGGGCTCGCAGGTTGTGGCGAGAGCTACAGTGCGCGCGAAGGGGGAGGGGGGACTCAAAAGTGGGTGGGAGGAAAAACATCACCGCCCTCACACCACGAGGGAGCAGCGGCTCGCTCCGCTCCCGGGGGCAGAGCCAAGGCGCGGGCGCGCCGGCCCGGGGCCACCTGCCCGCCCGGCTGCCCGCTCCCCACTTGGCCCGAGAGGCGGGCCGCTCGCGGCTGGCGGGAAGTCCGCAAGCACGCAGCCCCTGCAAGCACGCACAACGGCTTTATTCCTGCTTCCCCAACCCGAAAGTTTAAAAACCGGGAGAAAGTGTGAGGCTCAGCCGGCGACTTTCCCATCACGCAGCGCCCCCACTACACCCCCCCTCCTTTGGCTAGGCGAGCGTTGGGGTCTTAAAGGGACCGCACATCTCCTCCGGCCCCTCCTCCCCCGTGCACTGGATGCACCTAGGAGCTTCCCACCGCTCGCGCGCACCCTGAAGACCCTAGCTACCTTCTGCCTTCCCTGCCTGGAACCCCCTCACCCTTTCTCGCGAGGCAAAACGACTTTTGCAGGCGCACCTGGTACAATCCTGGTGCACTGTATACAAGTTGGGCTGGCCCGGCAAATTACGCTCTAGCACGTCGCTTTAACATTTCGGGACATTTCGCAGATCTTTATTGTGGCAAGTGACAAAGGTTTGGCCTCGGTAAAGACGGGATGGAGATTGGGGGCGGGGGGGGGCCACTGGAGAGAACTTCGAAGTCTACTTTCTGCTACAAAGAGAACTCCCAAGTCCCATCAGAAAGGGCCTCTGTACTAATTGTTAAGGGTCTTGAGGAAGAAAACTGCTTTAGCAGTCCCAGAGAGTCCAAGTTGGGCCAAGACCCCAACCTTAAAATCACCCAGCACTGCTGATGTCTTGATGAACCTGAGACAAACTACTCCATATTTGTGTTCATTCAATGAAGCATAGTTGCAAAAAATTATCAAAATCCTTTAAGGCCCCTGAAAGTGCTGCCTTAACAGTACCCATTTATATCTGTAGTGCCTAAATTTAGAGGACAGCTGCTGGGCATTTTTACATGAACTGCATAATATCAATATTCCTAACGTGTAGATCCTTACTGGGTACTTAAAAAAAAAAAATAGGGCAGGGGACTGTGGCAAAACTGAGGCAGCTCAGCGACCTCCTCTTTACCCCCATTCTTGAGATCTGGATAGGAAGATTTCAGATACATCACTTAGAGTAAGGGTCATGAATTCATTAGAAGGGAAGGAAAGGGTAAAAGGGGACTCTCTTAAGGGAGAGAGTGGGTTATCTCAGAGAGGAGAGGGGAAAATGTGTCCTTCTGTTTTATTGGGGATCCTAGGAAAGTTTCCAGATAGTCTCGACCAGGTCCGCCTTTTGACTTTTGACCAACAGCAGAATGACATCAGACTTTCAAGTCCCCACCACCATGACAACTCTACGTCACTTTAGCCCATCCTGACCAATTCTAATTGGAACCTGGTCTAACAGATTTTGTGATTAGGGGAAATTATCCTTATCTCCCTGAGTTCTGGGATCTGCTCTATGTAAGGGGCACAAGAGTCCCCCTTTTCAGGGTAACTTGTGTTCTTATTGGCATTTCAGGCCTGTATTCCTCCTGCAGATAACAGGTAGTTTGCTGAGGAATGTAACATATCCTGTCGACTTAAGCCAGTCAGGGATGCAGGTAAATTCCTTTTTAAAAGAGAAAGCATGTGGGGGTCAGTACTGTGGGCCCGGCTTATAGAATTATTCCCTTGCAGAGCTGGTTTCTGGCTTAGTGGCAGAGCACTTGCCTAGCATACATGAAGCCCTGAGTTCAATCCCCAGCACCCACCAAAAAAAAAAAAAAAAAGAATTATTCCCTTATCCTCATGTTCCCACTGCTCAAGTCTGTCAGTTCCCTATCACTGGCATATGTATTATATCAATATTATTTTTAAACCCTCACAAGAAACTGAACTATCAGTGGCTTCAAGTGTGAGTTTCTGGAAACCATCTGAACCATTTGACTTAATCAATGTTTTCATTTCACAGAAGAGAAATCTGATGTTGGGGGGGCTGGATGATGTATCTAAGGTCACACAGCTAGTAAATGACAGACATGAGATTTCAATTCAGAATTCCCAACTTTCAATTCTGATCATTACATTCAGTCAATAGCTGAAGAAATTGACACTCTGAGAAATTGTAGTTTGTCAAAAAAAAAAAAAAAAAAAAAAAAAAAAAAAAAAACACCACATATCAGGAACAGAGAACAAAGAAAATTTAAAATCAGAAATAATTGTTCCTGGAAGTTACCTCCTTTTTTCTTTCTTCAGAAGTGTTAATATCATCCAACTAGCCCTTGCTTTGCTGGAGATGTTTATTTCACTGTTAACAAAGGAAAGGGGGCCCTTTCTGAAATGTTGCCTTCAGGGCCCAGAATGTCTAGCTCCATCCTGTTGCTTGGGTAGCCATACGTTGCCACATGCATTCAATTTGTGCTGTAGTATATTAGTTTGAACTTGGTGATTTGTTGCCTTATAACTGTTCTCATGCTATTTAATGTGCTGATGTTTTGTCTCACTATACTGTGAATTCTTCCAGGGCAAGGACTGGTTTCAAGAAATAGTCTGGGGGGGCTGGAGATGTGGCTCAGCGGTAGCGCGCTCGCCTGGCATGCGTGCGGCCCGGGTTCGATCCTCAGCACCACATACCAACAAAGATGTTGTGTCTGCCGAGAACTAAAAAATAAATATTAAAAGTTCTCTCTCTCTCTCCCCTCTCTCACTCTCTCTTTAAAAAAAAAAATAGTCTGGGACAAACATGGATTCTAGCATTTAAAATAAATAGTTCATAACCCACTTGAATCAAACTGTGAAATATGATGTATTAAGAACTATGTAATGTTTTGATCGACCAACAATAAAATAAAATAAAATAAATAGGCTTAATGGAATTTAAAAGCTCCATCTATTTATCTACAACTATTCACTCCCATTAGTTGTTGTAGAATTCAGATTACCACATAAGAAGACATCGCAAAATTTACTGGCTTAAAATAGTTATTGTCAATTGGTTCTATTGAATTCATTCTACTGAACTCATTCAGAATCTTTTATACATTTTCAGGCAACTATATATGGGTCTGCTGAAATTCTCTAAAAATTTCTTTATTATTGTAAATTGTGATCTTTGTGTCAGTTCCAGTCTTGATTTCTGAATTAGAACTCTGATTTGGGTGAATCCTAGTCTAGACTTCCTACAAGGTCTTATAAAACTAAACTCATGGTTATCTCCATGCTTTATTTTTTTTATTTACTACATAGGGATGAGAACATAAATAATCTCACATTCACTTTTTAAAATTTATTTTTAAAAATTTTGAGATAATTGTAGATTCACATGCAGTTGCAAGAAATGATTCATATGGATCCTGAATATCATATGGATATGTCTTTCACCCAGTTTTCCCCCATGGTGACATCATGCACAACTTGAGTATAATATCACATTCAGGAAATTGACATTGATACAACCCCTTCACCTTATTCTGATTTCACCAGTTTTACATGCACTCATTTGCCTGCATGTATAATTCTACGCAATTTTACCACATAGGTAGGTTCAGGTGATCACCACCACAGTCAGGATACAGAACAGCACAAGAATCCCCTGTGCTACTTTTGTACTCACACTCTTTGTTTTTCGTTCCTCCCCTTGTCTACTCCCTGACAACCATGAAACTATTATCCACTTCAATAATTTTGTTATTTAAGAATGTTACATTTGGGCCGGAGTTGTGCCTCAGCAGTAGAGCGCTTGCTTAGTATGTGTGAGGCACTGGGTTCCATCCTCAGCACCACATATAAATAAATAAATAAAATAAAGATATTGTGTCCATCTACAACTAAAAATATTTTTTAAAAGAATGTTACATGGAATCACATAGTATGTAACCTTTAGAGAGTAGCTTCCCTGCCCCCAAACATAATCCTTGCTCCTTTTAATTACTGAGTAGTAACCCATGGTATGGATATGCCAGTTTGTTTAAATCCATTAAAGGGCCTGTTGGGGCCATTTACAAATAAAGCTGCTGTATTTGTCCACATGTTTGTACGTAAACAAATTTTCATTTCTTGGAGGAGATAAATGCCCAATAGTACAGTTCTTGGATTTTAAGGTAAATGCTTATGTAGTTTTATAAGGACTGTCAGGCTATTTTTAGATGTCTATGTCTACAATAAACTGAGATTTGAACAGGATTACCCACCAGCAATGCATGAGAGATCCAGTTTCTCTGCATTCTTGCCAGCAGTTGTTGTTGTCATTATTTTTATTGAATCATTCTGATACATATATACTGATGTGTCCTTGTGATTTTAATTTTCATTTCCTAAAACCTAATGATGTCTACCATCTTTCATGTGAATATTGGACTTCTGTATACCTTTGCAATATTTCCTCTGAGTCTGTAGATCGTCTTTTCATCCTCTTCTCGCGGGCCTTTATAGAACAAGAGTTTTTAACTTTGAAGTAATCTAATCCATCAAAATTTACTTTTATGGATTATGTTCTGGTGTTAAGTCTAAGAACTCTTGGTCTATCTATAGGCCCCATTTTCTCCTAAACTTTTGTTCTAAAAGTGTTAATATTTTTAAGTTTTATATTCAAATCTATGGTCTATTTTGTGTTAATTTTTATATAAAGTGTGAGGTTTAGGAGGAAGTTTACTTTTTTGGCTATGGATGTCCAATTACTCCAGTATCATTTGTGGAAAAAGCTATCTTTTCTCCATTGAATTCCTTTTACACCTTAGTTGAATATTGGTTAGGCAAATTTGTGTAGGTGTATTTCTTGTTTTTCTCTTTATCCTATTGATCTATGTGTCTATCCTTTTACCAGTACCACAGAGTCTTGATTATTATAGAAATATAGTACATCTTAACATCAAGTCAAGTGATTCCCCAACTGTATTCTTCTTTTCCAACATTGCTTTAGCTAACCTAGGTCACCCAGATTTCCACACAAAGCTGTAGAATAAACTTGTCTATGTCTACAATAAATTGAAATTTGAACAGGATTACATTAAAACTGTAGATCAAT